TCTTCTTTAAACTATCTTCTATTATATTATTAAAAGTACGCTTTTACTTAGCTACGCAAACTTAATTAAAGGCTAAAACTAACTTTTTAGAGTAACTAGAAGTAGAGAGGTAAACTAAAGATATAGTAGACTAATAATAATAAGTTTTACTATTATAAAGAAAGAGCTTCTCTATATAAAGTTAATATTACTTATTATAAGTTAAAATAGTCTATAATAGTCTAGAATAGCTACTTACTTCTTAATAATCTTTTTAAAAGTTATAGCTATTTTTAGAAGTTTATTAGTAAAGCTCTAAATTTCTTAAGTAGTATAATTATAAATAGATTTAATCTACTAAGCTAGAGCTAGAACTTTAGTGCTATTAGTATTAGTAGAAAGTATAATTTAGTTACTTTAATTATTAACTTAATAAAGTAAGTTATAGTTATAAATAGTAATAGTACTTTAATTAATCTTCTATAGAAAATTACTAATAGTATAATTAAAGTAACTATTATCTAATTTAACTTAAGAAAACTATATAATAAGTTAGTATAGGTTATAATAGCTTATTATAAAGTATTATAACTTACTATATAGTAATTCTAGTTAAGAATTTAGTACCTAAGGTACTTAGACTAATAGTAGGTCTTACTATTTATAATATAAAACTAACTACTTAGAAGACTAATATACTTAGCGTATTTTAAGATTTTTTTCTTATCTAGTAAATAGATAAAGTAATAGCTAACTTTTCTAAAGTACTTAACACTACTAGTAAAGAAGAATATAATATAGTAGTAATAAGAGTTTATAGCCTACTTACTATATTTTATAAAGGTATTTAAAATATTAGTAAAGTCTATAGTAAGCTATTTTAGGCTATAATAGTTTTAGATAAGTTTTCTAGAGGCTAAATAAGATAGAGTTATTAAAAGTAAGCGCAAACGTAAGTAAAATAAATAGTATAATATAGATAGTTATCTACTAGTATTATATTAGCTTAGTTATGTTTTAGTAACTTATAATACTTTATAATAGCTTATAATAGGCTATTATAGGCTATTTAGACTACTAGTAGAAAATATTAAGATTAGAAGTACTTACCTAATTATTATTAGTTAGTATAAAAGTAATAGTTAAGAAATTTAAAAGATTTTAATATAATACTACTAAAACGCTAGCTACTAGCGTAGGTAGTAGTATTTACTATAATATTCTATTATTACTTATTTTAGTAGTAAGTAAAAAAATTACTAAGTAAAAGTAAAGGTAAGTCTAAAAAATAGCTTTCTTACTATATAGTATATTTTATATCTACTAATATATATTTTAGTTACTAGATAATAATAATTTATAAGATAGCTTATCTTAGTCTAGAATAACTTATTCTACTTAACTCTAGAGAATTAAAGCTAAAAAGAAAGATATTATTAAAAACCTATATTCTAAATAGTTAAATAATATTATATAACTTAACTTAGTATAAGTATAAGTAGATCTAAGAAATTATTACTTAGAAGGTAATAATTTATCTATTCTTACTAAATAATATACTATTACTCTACTATCTCTTACATCTTGTATTAATTAGTAGTTACTTATCTAATATATAAGTACTAAAGTAATTTATTTTAAAGCTTTATAGTTATAATATATATACTAGAATCTTAGTAAAAGTATACTTTTTTCTTTAAATACTTATATTACTTTATTAAATATACTAGTGCAGAAAATATAAGTATAACGTAGTTAAGTAATATAGTATATTATTATTATATAGGTATACTTTCTAAATACTTTATTTTATAGTATATAGTAGTATATATTCTTTTAAAAGTTCTAGAAATTAAAACTAAGCTATAAAGTTTAATACTCTTAAACTTTATATAAAAGTATAAAGGTAAGAAGCTAGAATTTAGCTTAAATTCTATAGAAAAAGAAAGTATATAAGTATCTACGCGCTCTATATACTTCTAGAAAGGTATTTAGAAATTTTATATATATTTTATTACTTTTTAAAAGCTTTATATAAAAGTATAAAGTAGTAAGAGCTATAACTATAAAGAAATAGCTATAAATATTTAAGAACTTAAACGTATTTAAAGCTATTTCTAAAATAAAGCTATAAGATAGAAATAAAGTAGTAAAGTAGTAAAGAAGTAAGGCGTAGTAGTTTATAACTCTAAATTCTATATATAATAATCTTAAATTTATTATATAATAGCTATTCTAATAAAGAGTTTTATAACTATAATTATACTAGACTTTTTAGTAGTTGTAGAAAAGCAAAAACCTCTACTCTTTTATCTTTCTCTCTTCTCTTATCTTCTATATTCTTAATATCTTCTATACCTTCTAAATCTTTCTTTATATTTAAATACTTATATAATAGTAATATCTAAAACTTTATAAATTTAATAAATAAGTAGCTTTTATTATATACTAAACACTATATTACTATATTATTTAATATAATTTATAAGTCTTTTTAGTAAGTATAAGTATAAAACTAATCTCTTACTAGTTATAATACTTTATTATCTTACTAAGAAGCTAGAGCTCTTAATCTAAGCTCTTTAGTCTAAGTTAGAATAATCTATCTATATATATCTACTTAACTTTTAAGAATACTAAGAATTTATATTAACTTAGGCGCCTACTACGTTAAATAGCTACTTAGCTAGCACTTTTATAATATATCTATATCTATACTTACTTACTATATATCTATTTTATTTATAACGTAATTACTCTATACTATATATATTTTATTATATTTTACGTATATATATACACTAATATAATAAATATAGCTTAACTTTAAGCTACTTTTATATAAATATAATTACTAGTAATATTATAATACTATTACTCTTAATATAGATAATTACTTTACTATATAAATATTAATACTAATATAATATCTAACTTATATATTATATAAGTTTTGTAAGTACGTATAAAATATATATATATAGCTTTAGCTTATTCTATACTTTTATTACTACTACTTAATTTTTATAAACTTTTTATTTCTTTTTTCTTTTTTTTTTAAACTTTTTATCTCTTTTATCTCTTCTTAGTACTATATAGTTTCTTAGATTCTTTAGTTTCTTAAGCTATATCTTTTAAAATATATTAGTACTTTTAATATAATATTAGCTATAAACTATTTTATATATATATATATACTTTATTTATTAAGATTTTTAATAAACTTATTAAATAACTTAATAATACTTTAATTTATTATTTTACGCAACTATCTTCTATAATTTATACTTATATTTCTTTACTTTTTTAAAGTTTTAGTATTTAGATTTATAAGATCTACTATCTATATAGATAAGTATTTTATTATAAACTCTATTAGAAACTATATATATATATATATATATACTTTAAATACTTACTAGCCTCTTAAAGTAGTATTATAGAAATTTTCTATATAGTATAGCTTAATAGTATTTATCTTACTTTATATAAAATATAATTAAATAATACTTTTTAAAAGTAAATAAAGTTTATTTAAAGTATATTTTCTACTACTATACTCTTATAACTATAATTTTATAACTATACTTTAAATAAGTATTTTTTTTCTTAGCTTTTTAGCTATAATAGTATATTATATAACTTAAATTAATCTAAATCTCTACTATATTTTAGCTACTTAACTTATACTTACTATTCTATTAATAACTTATAATTATACTTACTACCTCTTCTCTTAAGAAGATCTACTAGGTTACTTTATTATTACTATATTAATTACTTTTAATATAACTAAATTTCTATTATATAGATTTTTAAGATTTTATTTCTTTATTAAAAAAAAAACTATAGAAGAAACTATTTTAAAAGCTTCTCTTAAAACTATAGAATAAGATATAGTCTATATAATAAGAAATATAATCTAGATTTTAAACTTAAAATATATATATTTTAGAGCTATTAATATTTTAATTAATAATTCTACTAATATAGTTATATTTATTCTTATTATTTCTAATAGTTTATCTAGCTAAAGTAAAATTTTCTATTATTCTTTCTTTTATTTTTATCTTAAAGAAGCTTACTAAGAAGATATATAAGTTCTTTTTAGATACTATTAATATATTTATAAGAGCTAAGTAGAAAATAATCTAATTAGTAAGTAAGCTAAGATAAAGCTAATAATTATAATTACTATCTATATCTTAGACTTTATATATAAAGTAAAGTTAAAATTTAAGCTTTTAATCTCTTTATATTCTAAGTAAACTATACTTAAATAATATAGTACAATTTATAAAAATTACTTAGTATTTAAAAAAGAAAAAATTAACAATTTAGTATTTATAGCTTATCTCTTTTAACGTAATATAATTTCTTAAATAGAAATTTTAGTTATATCTTCTACTTACTTTAGATAAGACTTAATAGTAGTTATTATATAAATATTACTATCTTAAAATAGTAATAAGACTATAGATAATAGATATAAATATAAAAAGTTCTACTAGCTAATTTATATATCTAATATTATATCTTATCTTAGCTAGTAAAAGATATTTCTAGTTAGTTCTAGTTATAGTATAAACTAGAAGACTATTTAAGTAAGTATAAATTTAATTTTTATCTTAGATCTTTAGCTTTTTTATAAAGCTAAAATTAAAAATAACTATATTACTATAGTAATATCTACTAAAGTTCTATTAAAGGTATATAGTAACTATATAAGAGAGTAGCTTAAAGTCTTTAAGTATCTTTTAATATCTTTTATTATTTTTTTAAGACTATTTTACTATAAAAATAATATTAAATTATACTTAAGGTACTAATTAGCCTTCTCTAATATAGTTTTACCTAACTAAGATATTAACTTTAGCTACTTTGCGATTTACACTACTCTATGTCTACTTACTTATGCTTTAAGATCTTTCTATACTGTGTAGTAGAATAAGTACAAGCTGTTCACGACTGCTAAACTATCGCCTGAGTTGTTGCTACAACGCAGGTGCCTTGATTCTAACTCTCGTAGCTCTGTCTCTTTATCAAGCGGTTCGCTTAGCGTAGGCGACACTGTAAAATCATCCTCGACACGTTCCAGCCATGCCACAACTGAATCTGACATGGTAAAGCCCATAACAGACACCACGCTATCACGGCGATACAACGCCTCATCGTCTGCATCGTTGCCATCGTCTTCCATAGAACCACTAGTCTCTTCTTCTCCATCCTCACCCTCAGCGCTGTCTTTCTCGTCGTCTTCTTCGGTCGAAGCGACAGGTGGCACGAGCTCTTCCTCGACATCAACCTCAACAACATCCCAAACCCTACCATCATCTCTCGTCCACGCCTCAGTCCCATTCAACGGACTAAACGGCGTTTCGCCATATTCCTTCATGCAATCGATAGTAGCTAACTTCACCGACAGCTTCACGCCCGGTTCGCTATGTACGGGTGGCACGCTTGGTATCTCGCCGCTAGGCCATAGCTTTGGTAATGCTGCGGCGAAGGTCTGCCAGGCACGTTGTTTCCCATTTGCAGCCCACTTCTGTTTGTAGCGGGCGAGGGTTCCGGAAAGGCCGTCGCGGTAGATTTGGTGTTCGACCAGTGCGATGGTTTCGGTGATGGTTGTTGGATTCGAGAAAGGCGGAGATGGTGGAAGGTCAATCGATGACTTGCGGACGCGCACCAACTGCGTTCCAGCAGGCCGACTTCTTCTCGATCCTTCCCCTTTCTTCCCGTTCTCTTCCATGCCCATAGTGCCCTTCTCTTTCCACTGTTGAGCACTCCACTTCGGATTCACCACCGTAGGATCCCTCCACCCCCCCCTCCCTCGCCCAGAAGTAATAATGCGGTACATCGCACCCGGGAAACCTGACGAAGAACAAATTCTCCAGACTCTTCCTCCCCATCCCATCTCGAACCAGCTCACCATACTCCAGGTACGCAGGCACATAGCACATAGCCAACGGTCTGTACTGCGACGCCTCATACACCTCCGCCGTCATCTTCGCCTTATTCCTCTGCCGTTGCGCATGGCGTGCAGCGCGATCACTAGGATCGCCATTGCCTTTCCCTTTGACGCGCAGCAGCTTCCTGTTTTCGAGATACCACTTGTTGTATGTATCGGCTAGGATTTTCGTTTCGTTCCTGGAGCCGAGGTGGAAGTACATATGTCCATTGCAGCCCTGAATGAGCGTGCGTTGAGCCCAATCAGTCCCTCTTTCGATAATGGCTTTGCGGAGCGAGCCAAGAAGATGACCGTTACGCGCCCCGGATCGGACCAAGGGGTTGAGAATGGGAACGAAGTCTGGGGTGACGCTTGGTGGATACTTCGCTCCTGGCAACACGAGCTTTTGCTTGCTATACATCGTAGTGATCTTTAAAGGTGCATACGGTACAGGACAGGGCAGGGGCAGCGGACACCATCTTTTGTAATCCCAACCTCCAGGTTTGACGGACGGCATGGTTTGGTTTGGCCATTCAAAAAGGCGAAGTCTGCATCCAGGCTCGTAGATCTGGTTTACGGATGCAGCACTTGACTCTGAAGAGCTGCTGTCCCATGACTCCTCACTGAGCGCCTCTCCGAATCTCTCGCGATTATACTCGTCTCCTGCATTTTCACCGTCTTCAGTGTCGGGATCACTCACAGTGTCGTCACTGACGCTTTCGTCACGCTCTCTCCTCTCCTCTTTCTCTCTTCTTTTCTTTTGCTTAGCAATGAGCTGTGCCTTCTTCTCTGCAGCCTTTCTCTCCTCTTCCTTCTTCGCCTCCTCCAACTTCCTTTGCCGCGCAACACGTGCGTCCTGTTCAGCACGCTTTTTGTTCTCGTCGTCGTGCTTCAGGGCCCAAGCCATCTCAACCTTCTTCATATCCTTGCGGTAGATACTGCGCTCCTTTGCTGTTTCGACTAGCTCTTTGTAGTTCAAGTTGTCGTAGACGGAGTCAGTCTTGTTTTCATCGCGTACTTTGTGCGTACCGCCACGTCTGTGTGATGAGCCTTGGTGAGTCTCATACGGCTCTGCAGAGCCGTGGTACGGTCGTAGGTTACGCTTCTTGGCTTTGCCTTTTGGCATCGTGGTGGCGGTTGGGTAGTGTTCAGTGGAATGTTTCTAAATGGGTAAATGCTAGTATTCCAGAAAACGAGCATTGGTTACTAGAAGCGCATACAGCGTGAGATAAGTGCGGAAGTGATGCTCGAGACATTGCTACGAATACAACTTCAAGAGATCACGTGTATTGGCCGAAAAGTGTCTTTAACGAGTCACGGGTCAAAGACATGCGAAAGGTCTGCTTTGTGAACATGACTTGGCTTTGTCTCTGTAAGCATCACCAAGCGTGGTGTCGAGTCGTTCAAAAAGTGTCACAATGCGCTGCACAGCTCGATTATACATTCGAAACAATTCATTCGTAGGGTCTAGGGTGTCTCACTACGGTGCGTTAACTTACATGCAATACAATTGATGGGAAGATGCTTACAGTTCCGACTTCTCGCCATCCTGCTTCCGCTTCTCTGCCTTGAAGTCGAAAAAGCCCTCTAGCTCCATCCACTCTGCAGTGAAGGCCATGACCAGCTTCGTCCAGTCTTCGACTGTATCCATATCCAAGTGCTCTCCGTCGTCTTCAATCGTGTGCCATACATGCGGGAAGGGCGTAGGGATCATGTGTAAGATCTCAACGCCGCGCGCCATGAACGGAACGTGATCGTCCTGCACGAAGCCGCCCATGAACTGATCATTTCCTTTGTTCGCGTCGGGCAGGAAAGGACGCTCGTCGCGAGGCTTCTTGTTCTCGCGCTTTGCCATCTTCGACTCGTGGTTTGGGGACGACTTCATTAAGCCTAGCTTGCGCAGGCGTGCCTCGGCAGTCGCCATGTGCTTGTATGCCCAGTGGGTGGTCTTGAAGTATGAGGGGACCTTTGGACCCTTGGAGCCGAGGAGATCAAGTAGCAGGAATAGGTCGATCGAGTCGAGCGGGGTGCGGTATATCGATGATGCGACGTGGAAAGTCGACTCCCAGTCTTCAGCGAGGGCTCTGCTGTTCGTCAGTAACCGATCGCCAAGAAAGATGAGGTGAAGCATACCGCGCGCCGTAGAGACTGTCGCTGTCGGTCCAGCTCTTGAACGCCTCCTCGCCGTCCAGCAACAGTATCTGCACACCCTTGTGCTCCACGTCGAAGTCGTCGGGGTCGGCCGCCGTCCATTTCCTCGTCAGCGCCGCATCGATGCTGCGCGCTATATGCAGGATCATGGCGCAAGGGGCCGCGCTGTCGGTCGCCCCAATGAAGCCAGTCGGCGTGTACTTGCTGTCGTAGTGGGCCACGAGAGCCAATCTCGAGACATCCCCCTCGGAGCTACCCGGCGGATCGCGTGTCGCAATGATGTTCACGAAAGGGACCTCCTTGCCCTTGCTCACGGGCGTCGTCGACGTCGAGTTGTGCATTTCCAGCCTCCATTCTGGCAATTGCGACTTGAAGAAGTCTAGGAAATGTTGGCGCACGGCAACATTGCCTTCCGTCCCAGAGACTCTGGGAACCAAGATCGGCGCCAGCAAAGAGCCTTTCTTTATGTCGAAGTCATCGCCTGGTCCCGGCAGGTGCTTGAGTGTGTGGTCGCTGAGGCCCTGGTAGGCGTATCCGAGGGACAAGAAGGAAACGAGCGACAGCAGCGCGAATGCGAACAACATGCTCGCGACTGGTCACATGAAGAACTTCGACAAAGTTGAAACACTGCACAAGATAGCTCACGACCGAGAAAGGAGCATGACGGCGCCGGTCGTTGAGTGGGCCGCTTGCAGCTCGTCGAGGGAACCGTGGCATCTCTCCGCACATGAGCTTGACCCGCTTCGGCTAGAGTTGCCGCCGCAAGCCGATCATCGCACGTGACACCGTGACATTTCGACAAGCACCATTGCAGCCCATCCACGCCCCTACACGTCCGTACGGCTTCGTCGCTGAGTAAGCCTCCTGCTAAGTCAGACATCCCGCGGCCACACCTCGCGGTCGCGCAGCGAAGGGATCGAGCGCATCGAGGCCTGACGAAGCCCACACACGCGTGCAATTTTCTTCACGGCCGTTGGCTGCAGACAGCATGCAGCCACGGCTGCTCGCCTTTGCGGCCGCTTTTCGAAGCACAGCGCCCACACTTAGAGGCACACGATTCGTCGCTCAAGCTCGCCTCAATGGATTCATCTGCCGGAGTTGCCAACGAAAATTCACCACAATACGCAGAGATCCCACATTACCATTACAAAGGGGAAAGAAGCCTAAGTCGGCACCCGAACCAGTCGGAAAAGAGAATGAGAAGAGTATGTAACAGCTCTGTCGTAGTCGGACGACAAACAGGGAGCAACCATCGTTAACGAGAATGTCCAGTGTATGCGTCAAGACTGCTGATCTACGATGCGGGCGACGCCCGAACGACATGGATATCCTTCTGGAAAGCAATGGCTTTGTTGCAATTCGGCACAACTCTCGTCTTCGGTGTGCCTCCATTATGGAACAATGAGAATCAGCCTGATGAGAGAGTGAGGAAGATGCAGGCTATAACTGGTGAGTGGACTTTGTTAATGCCTGTTGAACTGTCATGACCCGAACCTCTTCATCTACACCACTTTTCTTACCAAATGCACCGAACCAATTCCCCTCTCTCGTCATATCGATGCGCTCTGGATCTGGCCTCATCATACGTGGGCATATATCTTCTACGTCCCTGATTTGTCCGACCCATCTTGCGCGGGTCCGAAACAGCACTCATCACGTGGTGGCGGCATTACATTTCCTCATCTACATCCTACCCCCTCACCCACACCCCCTTCCCAACACCCCAACACCCGAAACTCACACCCGACATCTAACACCCCCCAGTCGGCATCCTCGGCACCATCCCCACCCTAACCCTCGCCTACCTAACCGCCCCCTTCGTCCACCAAGTCTTCCTCCAAATCCCCACCACCGCCAAGTACGCCCGCCGCTCCCGGCCCGAACTCCTCCGTTTCGCCAGGAGCCTCCGTCAAAACACCGCCGCGACTGCAAACACAAAACTCGAATTTGTGACGCTGCGAATCTTCCCCTTCCGCAAACACACCACCGCTTTCCTGCACGAGCTCCGCGCTTTGCCGCCCAAAAAACTGCGTTTAGCGAACATCGAGTTACCGAAGAGCGAAGCGTGGGTTAAGAGGCAGAGGGAAAAGGGTATCTTCAAGCGCATGCTGGAAGTCATGAGTGAGCCGCGTTTCAAGTTCTACGTTAAAGAAGGGCGGTTGTACACGATGAAGACGGGTGTGCCGGGCGTGTGGGAAGAGGTCGCTATGAGAATCAAGGAGCAGACTGTTGAGGAAGCGGAGAGGGAGAGAGTAGAGCGGGAGAACGGGAAGCGGGGTGTTGGGGCGAGGAAGGAGGTGCCGAGGAAACCGGTGGTCACAACTGTTGCGAGGCGTGGTGGGGGTGAGGCCAAGGTCGCAAGGCAAACTACGAGGAGGAGAGATTTCATGTCAGAGTGAATATTAACCTTGAGGCTTGCGATCCAATATGTCAAGATAGAACGATTTGCTAAGCGAAAGAATATATACAAGTCGTCTGTTCTCGATAGCCCTCCACCCAACTAGTTTACTCGTTTCAACAGGTCTACAGAAGCATGAATCATGCCTGCTCGAGAACCTCGGGCTTCTCCTTCTCCATGCTGCTCTTGTGGAAGTCGGCGACGCCGTCATCATGCACGAGGCCAGAGCGCGCGAGGAGGTCGGTAAGTCCGACTTCGCGGTGAACCTCGGCCCAGCGCTCCTTCTCGCGCTCTGCGGTACCGGCGGAGCCAAAGAGGGTGTCCATTTCTTCCTGGGAGGGTCGTTAGCAAAAGCTTTGCATGCAAGAGGTGAAATGGGAACTTACGAGAGAAACACCCTTGGTCTCAGGGAAGAAGAAGAAGATGAACGCAGCGCCCATAGCGGTGAAGATACCGAAGAAGATGTAGGTGCCATAACGAAGATGCGTAAGCATATCCGGGGTAACCTGGCCGACTATGAAGTTGTTCATCCAGTTAGACGAAGCACCAAGCGCAATACCATACGGACGGTTGGACATGGGCCAAATCTCCGCAATGACGATCCAAGCACATGGACCCCATGAGTAGCCGAAGAAGATGACGAAGAGCCACACGAAGACACAGGCAGCCCAACCAGCACCCTGGTGGCTGGCCCAGCTGTCCTCGTAGCTGGCAGAGATACCGGCGATGATGAAGTGGCAGGCTGCCATGCCGATGGCACCGCTGACGAGTACGGGTTTACGACCCAGTTTGTCGACGTACATGACCGCAGGGACTGAGAACCCGTTAGCGCGAGGACGTCAAGTGGTTAGTTACGGTGAGAACTTACTTGTTGCGAGGAACATGACAATACCAACGACACCTGTGGCGAGGAGATTGATCGAGTTGCCCGATAGCCCAAGGTCTTGGAAGATGCTTGGAGCATAGTACAGGATGGCGTTGATACCCGTCTAAATGTTGATTCATCAGTCAGTTCATATGTTATATGAGGTTCGCAGGTAGCCACTTACCCATTGTTGGAAGAACATGGTGAGCGTGGAGATCAGGACACGCTTGAACATGCCCCTAGTAGTGAAGAGACTGCCAATAGCGACGAATTGCAGCTTGAAGACCGACAACGCGCTCATGTCCTGAAGATGGGGGAATCGCTCAGCCAGCGACTTCTTCTCGAACAGACTTTGTGCGCGGATCTCAGCGTACTCAAGCTCGATGAGTTCGTGCTCCTGGGGGAGGCTACGAAGATTGGCGAGTACACGGCGCGCCTCTGCCTCACGGCCGTGATGGACGAGCCAACGGGGAGAGAAAGGCATGAAGATCATACCAGCACCGAGAAGCACAGCGGGAGCCAGTTGCAGAGCGAGAGGAAGAAGCCAAGCAGCCTCCTTCTGTCCGTCTCTCCCGGTGCCACCGATGTAGTTGGTGCCGTAGTCGATCCAGAAACTGATCATGATACCCAGGGTAATGCTCAATTGCTGAAGACCCACAAGCGCACCTCGGACTTCGGGAGGTGCGATCTCGGCGTTGTACATGGGGACAAT